ACCAGAGCCAAACCTAGTCCCCATTAGTTGCTGTGCATGGATTAAGTGGTTAACATTGTTTTGAGAATGTTGGGCTAGATTGTGGAAGCACCATCTGTTTCCTTTAACGTGTAAACAAGGAAAATTGCTGGTTTGAATTGCAGGATTATTTAAACTGAGATGACCGCAGGCATTCTTAGAAGAGGTAAAAGAATCCTTCTGAGTGTAGGGATTGATTCACGGACTCTGGCGCGGGTAAAACCAAAGACCTTTATTGTTTACAAGTTTGTGCTTATATAGATTCACTAGCTGTGCATGCGCTCTAGTTTGTTCATGGATTGGTTAACCCCTGCTGTCCACGCACCCTAGTTTGTTCATGGATTGGTTAACCCCTGCTGTCCACGCGCCGCAGCTAAGTTTTTAATTGGTGCTGTTAATCAAGACACATGTCTTCTAGTTTGGGTCTCACAGCTGTGCTTCAAAACATTTTTATCTTCAGCTCACTTTCTGCGCTTGCTTCATTACTTACTTTCTCAGACTATTTCCTTCAAGGCTATGTTGTTCAAGGTCGCTTGCAACACTCCCTGTGAATCCCACATCTGAGGTCTGACGTTCAGTGACATTTGTTAGGAAATAAATTCCTAAGTACCAGATGGGGCTGCTATCCCTATTCCAGAAGCAGAAGGGGAACTTTTCATTTGCAGACACCTCCTTCCTTCTGAAGGCCATCTTCAAAACTAAACTGCCATCAAACATTCAAAACCATAAAAAATGGTTCAACAATGTGTTGAAAGGGCTGAGCATCCCATTGAGAAGCAGCAGGTTCATTTAATATATTTATGGGTGAATATCCAAAATCAAAAGTTTTGAAAATACTGGGTTTGGTACATTTGTTACTTCACCTACCCAGCTGCCTTCCTCTTCCTCATACAAAGAAACCTCATACAGTGCATGAGAAATCATGTCTTGGGGATGTGAGAGTCAGAACAAATGTTCCACATTTTCACTTTGGCAAGTAGCATGGGTATACTTTTGATTACTGATAAAAAATGTTCACTTAAGATATGTTTTGGTGATGAGCTGCTTCTGTTCTGAATTGACTAGGAGCAAGCAGTCCAGAGGCACATTTAACCTAATGAAAAGTGTTGGAAGGGAAGAGCAGTGGAGGTACAACAGGAAACGTTCTTGTACTTTGTGCAGAGCAGGTCAGCATTTGTAGAGGATTTTGTGATGAAATTGCTCAGAACATGTTGCTACTGGATAATAATCCTCCACACAGGAAAATATACCTGAGTCACTGGGAGAAAAAAGTTGTCTTTCATGTTATCAACAAACCTTGGTTGTTGCTGGGTGTTGCTGTGTTTCTTAAAGTCGTATTTTCTGTCTTTCGTATAGCTTTTTTGGAAGCCTAGAAAGGAGCAGACATAAAACCCGCTGATGCATTTTTATTTGAAAAATAAATGCCACCTTAAGTAGAGCGCACTGCTAAGCACAGTCCTGCAGACAGCTCCGATCTTCTGTCTGCAGTCACCCATGTAGGCAGGCTGTACTCATTAATACTCAGAATCAGGCACCTCGATTTTTAACCTCTCACTTCCTTTGACAACCGCTGGAAGCACGCAGAGCGGGGGTTTGTTTCACCCAAATAGAGTGACCCTGCTTGACCACTACTTCGAGTTAGTCAAGTCTGGGAAAGAGCAAAAGTGTCAAGATACATGATAAAGAAGTCCTGCAGCGCCAAGCAAAACTGGCTTCCTTCATCTGGCCAGTCTAACTTTAGTGTAGTTATTTAGGATTGTATCACAGCACAGTAAATAAAAACAGCAGCCTTATAGTACTGTAAATCTTTCATATAATGGGAAAGGTCTCTAAGATGAGCTACAAGAGTAACCACAGCTGCATGATACTCCTGTTTGTAGAGTGAGGGAGAGTCTCTCTGTAAATACTGGGCATGAGCACAGCTTTTCTTCCATGTATGTTCTAGGCTCCACGGTATAAGGATATCATGTGCTTTGCCACCAGGGCTTCTTTTTACAAAAGCAAAATATCATGGAGCAAGTGATTTTACTTGTGTGTGCTTAGGGACATGGTTTAGTGCTGGACTTCGCAGTGTTAGGTTTACAGTTGAACTCCATGATCTTGAAGGTCTTTTCCGACCTTCTATGATTCTATACCTTATTACCTGTTCTGCTTGGATCAGCTCCCTTTTTTATATTAGAGACCTGTGACTTTTCTTTGAATTTGCTCATGAAAATTAATTCTCTGAGCAAGGAGAGAGTGGTGGTGTCTTGTATCCTGAATGAGTTTAGGCATGAGATGGGTAGGACAGTTATTGCTGAGCCTGTGTAAAGATGCTTCTCTAAAGTGCTGTGCAAACCTTGGAGAACTGAGGTGCCATAAAGCTTCTGCAGAGGTGCCATACATTGCCTCCATGGGCAGGACTGTAAGAAGTATCACACATCTGGGGCCTAGAGGAGATCTGGTCAAATTTTACTCCTGCTCTGGATTTAGGATAGAGTTCAGCTTCTGGAGTAGACCACAACTAAGCAAGGGTTTATAAAAATTTCACACTGGGGGACCAATACATGTCTTTTTGGAACCTGACGCAGCCTGACTCATGCCTTGTCTAGCTAGGCAACAGTCAGCAAGTAAAGCAGAGCCGAACTGCAGTGGTGCTCCGGTCCTCCCCGCTTCCAGGGCTGGTGTGCGACCTCTGGCTGCCTGCCATGAACACTCTGGGTTTTTTTCTCTGGGATGGTCAAGCAGTTTCCTGGCATATTAGCAGGCAGCCTAATGCCACAGGGTTCACAGTAGCAGAAGGGTTCATGGAGATGGGCTACCCAGGAAACAGCCCTGCATTTCTATTGTGCATTGTCTGTTCTCCTGGAGGATCAGTTTAAAACACCCAGTGAGTCATTATTGAAGCAATGTCATCATTGTAATTTTGGAGCCCCTGGAAGGAACCTGAGTAAACATTGCTTAAAACCAAATCTGTCTGTTCCTGACTTGGGTGGAAACCATTTGACTGGTAGCACCCAACTGAAGGGGGGGAAAAAAAAGGGGGGGGAGAGGTGCAAAAAATACACAGCAAACTATGCTAGTCTGATCACTAGCACTCACTAGCAGAAAAATCATGAGAAAGTGATGTTGATACAAGTTAGAAGTTTCGCAGACAAACAAAATAATCCCAATATGACATGAGAGTGGCCTGAGAGGGATAATGTCTAGAATGATCCATTAAGGGAAGCTTCCAGTAACTTAAGGGAGAACTTTCTTCGAAGTTTTGTCTGTAGATACCTTTTACGATGCGGTAGTTGGCTCTGTGGGATAGGAATGGTCTGTCATAAATTCAATACAGTTTTAGATTTTTTTGAAAAAACTCTTATGTATGAAAGCTCTATTAATACACACCCAATTCAGCAGCAGTTCTCTCATGGGCAGCAAACTGACCCAGTGCTCTGGAGACTCTATCACTTCCAGTTCCTGTCCTCTGATGCTAATTTAAGGAAAAGCAGCTGCAAAAACTGCTGTCTTCCGCTGCCTGTCAGCCATGGGTGTTCCTCCCTCACCTAAAGCAGTCAGGGCAGTGGCTGGCGCTACCAGGTGCACTGCCTTGTGCTACTCACATTGGATCAGACCTGTACTGTATACTGCTATGGCAGTCACTTCAGGGGGGAAAGTCAGTGATTGTTTCATGGTACAAGGGCAGAGATTACACGGCAATATTTGGGCGGCAAGTAAAAAGAAGAAAAGCCTGTGTTGTTAACATAGCAGAGAGGAGGTGGTGGGTTAGCATCAGGGACTTTCCCTGCAGACCTCAGTCAAGCTGCAGACCTCACTGTGAAATCTGGCCAGGATGCTGGGAATCCTTACAGCAAAAAACTGTTAGGATCTTCACTGAGCATTTGGGCAGAAACTCTGTTGTTCGTCTTGTATACTTTTCTAAAGACACTTAGGTAGCTCTAGTACAGAATTCCCCCCCAGCTGAGTACAAAGCCACATCTTGTATGGGCCAATGTAATTTGCCATTTTATGCTGTTGGGTTGCAGTATTTATATTTTTTTGTTAGAGCTGAATAGCACCAGCAGAGGTTAAGGTGTCAGCATTTCCACTATTAACCCAACTCTTTCTTGGGGTTAGGTAACATTTCTTTTATACCACACTATGCTGAAATTCTGCCATGCAGATGCTGTCCAAGACATAAGGCATTTATTTTTCACCAGATTTTATTTTAAGTCATTATGGTAGTTAATGGTTTAGAAAATGTCAAAAAATGTTAAAAAATTAAGGTTGGTTTTGTTTCTTTCAGAGGCTGTTCTTGCATTATATACTTCAAGAATGGCTTGACATTTTCTATCTCTTAACCGCTAATATAGACAAACCAAATGGAGACAGCAAAATTGAATGTCCCACTTTAGAAGGTTTAAGCATAGCCTTTCAATGTAAAGAATTTCCAAAGCCACAGCTCACACTGAGTTATCCAGGATGTTGTGCTGTAGAGCACAGTAACACAAGACATCCTGCCGGAGTAGGTGGGAAACACCTCTACAAGCCAAGGGGTAGATTCCCAGAGCCAGAATGTAGTATTTTAAGCCTCTGTTGGTAAGTGGGGACACTCAACACCTCAGTAGGATCAGTGTGCAGGTAGCTCTGATCTCAGTGAATGCATGGTATAACCAGCACCTTGTGTGGTCTGTGCTAATGGGTAGTCAATAGGAAGAAGGGACCAAGCTCTCTTAGACCTCCTGGAAAAATCAGTGCTTGACAAAGAGAAGATACTGTAGCACTAGCAAGCGGCCTTGTCAGAACTGGTCTGGAAGAAAAAGATGGTGCATTTGTAGCTACTAACAGTCATTTTGCGGTGTTGAACCATCAGAAGTATATGTAGGCTTGTGTTACTGACATTGCCACATAAAGCATGAATGTTAATAGTACTGGATTGTTATACCCTATGCAGTTACAGAGGGAACATGCCAAGATCCTCAGAGACTTATGTTTCCTCTTTTTCTTTTATCCCACAGGTAATAACTCCAGTCAGGTCAGGACAAGGTTATGTTTATGAATTCCCTTCCAAATACCAAAAGGATACCTATGATATTCCCCCTGTTCGTCCTCTCCAAGGGGTAGGTACCAATAAAACTGCCAACAGCACTGACAGGGCACAAAAGGCAATAAATTTCTACCAGAAGTTTATGAGCAATGCAAGTTCTCTCGTTTCAGAGAGAGAATGTGTTTTAATTAGATGCTGTGGCTTATTCACAGAGTGCAGAAGTATTTTAAAGTTGTATTTGATGATGACTAAGATTTGGCAGCACACCAAACACAAAAGTCCCGTTTGTTTTCTGTGTTTTGATCAAAGAGTATCAACAGAATAAACTTGCTGCCTGGGAACAATTTTTTTTCTCTTACTTTGTTGTTGCATAGTTGACAGTAATTCACTCAGTAAAGGTAAAATTATTGCCTAGATGAACAGCTACTATGCAGGGAGTTGCTTTTACCACATATCTACTGCACCATGTCACTGAACTTGAAATATATCTTTGTTCTGGGGAACACCCTTAGCATTCAGTCTCCCAAGACCACAGACATCTAGAGTGGATGCTTGCAGGACCTGTAACTCAACAACCCTGCATCTCGCAATGGCTCTTTGACACAGCAACATTGAAGCCCCATGTACATAACACAGACTGACATCAAATGGCTGGAACAGTTGGGAAATCTGGGTTAAGAGACATTCAGACAGTGGCCTGAGACCACATGCAGAACCCACTGTAATGTGGGACATGCCACCAAGTGGGACACTTGAAACATCTGACAGCTGTACTCTCTGCTACTGAGACAGCTCACACTACACCTGATAAAGCAGATAGGTGATGCTGATGGGCAGCCATAGTTCCAGAGAGTTTACTAGTGTGTACTAGTACAAGCTTATTCCTCAACCCCTCTGATCTCTATCAGTAAGAGTGTGATCAGTTCTGGTTACATGAATATATTGCTCCCTGGTTCACCTCAACAGGTATCTGTTATAGACTGGCCTTGATTTAACTCTCAGGATGGCAGTCAGCTGTGACTTCATCTCTCCAGCCTGCTGTCCACACAGTTACCCAGAGGGGACCTAGCAAAGTGCATTTCCTCCTAACTGTCCAAAATGCCAGGCAAATCCAAGCAGCTTTCCCATATGAAACAAAGTTGAAGAGCTCTGATCATCTTCAGGCTGTTTGAGAGGAAAGATGGAAACCAAGAAAACTCATCTGACATCAGAGCTTTCCTGAAGTGAATTGTTTCTGTAACCAATTTATTCTTTCTTTAGACATATGACATTCCCCCCACATCGGTTAAGGGGCCTGCACTTCCAGTTCCCATGGGAGATGCAAAAGCTGTAGGAGTGTATGACATACCACCTGCCAAAGGGGTAAGTATTATGCTGTTGCCACAAAATCCTGTATTTTCATGTCTGACCAAAGACACGTTTAAACAAGAGTTCATGTGTGGTCACCATCATAGAATCATTTGGGCTGGAAGGGACCTTTAGAGGTCATCTAGTCCAACCCCCCTGGAGTCAGCAGGGACATCTCCAACTAGATAAGGTTACTCAGATCCCCATCCAGCCTGACCTTGAATGCCTCCAGGGATGCCCCCCCCTCTCTGGCCAGCCTGTTCCAGTGCTTCACCACCCTCATTGTAAAAATTTTTTTCCTTATGTCAAGTCTAAATCTACCCTCTTTTAGTTTAAAACCATTACCCCTTGTCCTGTCACAGCAGACCCTGCTAAAAAGTCTGACCCCATCACTCATATGGGCCCCCTTTAGCTATTGGAAGGCTGCAGTGAGGTCACCTCAAAGCCTCCTCTTCTCCAGGCTGAACAACCCCAACTCTCCCAGACTGTCTTCATAGGAGAGGTGCTCCAGCCCTCAGATCATTTTCATTGCCCTCCTCTGGACCTTCTCCAACAGGTCCATGCCTTTCCTATGCTGAGGGCTCCAGAGCTGGATGCAATACTCCAGGTGGGGTCTCACCAGAGCGGAGTAGAGGGGCAGAATTACCTCCCTCAACCTGCTGGCCACACTTCTCTTGATGCAGCCCAGGATGCAGTTGGCCTTCTGAGCTGCGAGTGCACATTGCTGACTCATGTCTAGCCTGTCATCCACCAGCCCAGCAGCCCTAAGTCCTTCTCCGCAGGGCTGCTCTCAATCACATCATCCCCCAGCCTGTACTGATACCGGGGGTTGCCCCAACCCAGGTGCAGGACCTTGCACTTGGCCTTGTTAAACCTCATGAGGTTCTCATGGGCCCACCTCTTGAGCTTATCCAAGTCCCTCTGGATGGCATCCCGTCCCTCAGGCCTGTCAACCACACCACTCAGCTTGGTGTCATCTGCAAACTTGCTGAGGGTGCACACGATTCCACCGTCTGTGTCATTGATGAAGATATTAAACAGCACTGGTCCCAGCACAGACCCCTGAGGGACACCACTCGTCACCGGCGTCCATCTGGACATTGAGCCATTTACCACCACCCTCTGGATGTGACCATCCAACCAATTCCGCATCCATCAAACAGTCCACCTATCAAATCCATACCTCTCCAATTTAGAGAGAAGGATGATCCTGAAGGAAAAGGAGATTCAGTACTTTAAAGATTTCCTTAGGTTTTCAAACTGTTAAAACTGGTAAAGTGAAGCACTGCATCAACATTATTAATGTTATGGAGTGTGAATTAATAATTAGAGCTACATTATCTTTATGGCAGCATGCTGCCTTTTGGGATTTTGCTGCTTATGAGAATTTTCATCAAGATGAATGTTAAAAAGTGAGATATTAAAACCAATGTTAAGTCAAACTCGGGATAAGTAGCTGACTCCATGAAAGTCAGTGGCAGATCTTCCATCCCAGCATTTTAGGCCATATGGAAGATATGAAATAGTTTGCTATTCTAGCCAAAGGTTTCATGGTTTGCTTTCTGTGATTCAGGTCTTTGCTACACCTCCATCTGCATGCCATGATAGAGGCCTGAGGGAAAATCTGCAGGATTTGTCATCTCCAGTGGGCCACATTGTAACACCAGAAGGAGTATATGATATTCCTCCTCCCATCACCAAAGCAACTGGGAAGGAACTTCGTAAATTTTCTCCTGAAAGCCTTTTATTGGATGGAGCGCCACAGAAACAGAATGTTTATGACATTCCTATGAAACATCAAAACTGTTTTCTTGGACAGCAAATTGCACCTCAGAAAGATGTTTATGATACCCCAAGGGGAACTGCATTCCCAGGACAACAAACAGGACTCAGTGAAAGTCTCATCCCAGAAGAAAGAGAAGGTGTGTATGATGTGCCACCACCAGTCCTCCAAAACACTAAAGGCTTACAGGATGTTACTGATGGAATAAATAGGTTGTCCTTCTCCAGCACAGGAAGCACAAGGAGTAATATGTCCACATCTTCAACAACATCAAAAGACTCTTCTTTCTCAGCATCAGCACAGGACAGAAGACTAATCCTTGATCCAGACACTGCTATAGAGAGGCTTTATTGCCTCCAGCAGATGGTGGAGACAGCTGTCAATAACCTCATGGCCTTCATTATAGCAGACTGGCGGTCTTACGGATATATGGAGAAACACATCAATGAAATTCACACTGCTGTGGATAAGGTAGAGCAGTCACTGTTGGAGTACCTCCAGTTTGCGAAGGGATCAGCAGCCAATGCTTCCTGCCTATCTGAGTTCAGCCTCCTTAACAAAATGAGAAGGGAGGTGCAAAGGCTGGAGGACTCTCACCAGATCCTTACCCAAACCAGTCAGGACTTGAACAGCTACAACTGGTCTTTGAATGTTCTAGCTGTCAACAAACTGCAGAACAAGTGTGATGATCTGGATCGGTTTGTTATGGTGGCAAGAACAGTCACGGATGATGCCAAGCAACTGACCACGACCATCAGCATCAATGCAGAGGTGCTCTTTAAACAGGCGTTGAGCCGCTCACGTTCCAAAAACATACCAGAGAATATCATGAACGCTCCTGACTGTGTATATGACAGTCCTCATATGCAGCATCATGGAGAAAAAGCACAGCACTGCAGTTCTCGTCCTCCACTCTTGAGTAAAGGTCAGCACCCTCCAAATATCACCAGTGAGAGCTTGGAAAAGAGCTGGATGGATGACTATGATTATGTACACCTGCAGGTAGGTAAACCCAACACCTTGTTCTGCACAAGGCCAAGTAAGAGTTGTCTTTGTTTTTGCAGAAGCTGTTTGCAGGAAAGTAGCAATCAGATTGTCACACTAATACATATTCAAGAATAATTTCACCAGGGTGGTTACTTCCTCTCAAATAGGACTGTTGCATACATAACAGTGATAGCCTTTTGCTCTGCCACACTGTCCTTTTCTTCTCTGTACTCTTAGTGGTGCAGTACCAGTGAAAAAGCCAATACAAAGAAGCCTGTTATTTGACCTATGAGTTGTCATTTAGCTCAGGAACAGTTTTGATTTAACACAGTGTCTTATGTTATGCAAAACAGGGGAAAGAAGAGTTTGAAAGGCAACAGAAGGAGCTGCTGGAAAAAGAAAATATCATCAAGCAGAGCAAAATGGAGCTAGAGCACCATCAGGTATGTTCACTTGGGTGCAATAATCACATTGAAATGCAGTGTTCTTGCACATAAGAAGTATTGGTCAAATAAAGCAAGAGGGGGCCTTCCCTTAGCAGTGTGCAACTGCTAGCGTGATGGCTGCGAGGTGTGCATGAGTCCCAGCACACGCAGTTGGAAAGTCCCAGGTGCTAGATGGTGAAGATGGCAGGTATTAGGTCTTGGCTAATCAGCACTCCAGGTTAGTTTCTTTCCAAGTGGGATTTGTGCCAGTCAGGAATACTCAAGGGTGTCTTGAGGCATAAGGTGAAACTGTAATACATAACGTCTTAGGATAATATTCTTTGAAAAGAGCCTTTTTATTTGCCTTTCAGATCAATCAGTTTCAGCGTCTGGAGCAAGAGATCACAACGCCAGTAGAGAATGACATCTCAAAATGGAAGCCACCTCAAGCTCTCCAGACTGCAAACAGCACTGCCACCTCCCATGACAGCCAGCTGCTTTTATTCTATTCTGACCAATGTGAGACTCATTTCAACTCCCTCCTAAATGCCATTGATGCCTTTTTCAGTTGCGTCAATGCCTCTCAGCCCCCCCGAATCTTCGTGGCTCACAGCAAGTTTATCATTTTGAGTGCTCACAAACTTGTGTTCATTGGGGACATGCTCACGAGGCAAGTGATGACTCAGGACATAAGCAACAAAGTGATGAACTCCAGCAACCAGTTGTGTGAACTGCTGAAGAGTGTTGTTCTGGCTACCAAGATGGCTGCCTTGCATTACCCCAACACAGCAGCCCTACAGAAGATGGTGGACCAAGTAACAGAGCTGTCTCATCATGCACAGTTGTTCAAACTGTCACTGGTCCAAATGGCATCCTTATGAAACCCAGTGGAATCCAATCTGTGAGGAGCAAAACAGAAAAGCAAAACAAACTGGAGCTATTTTTAATGTAAATGTTATTTTTTAAAAAAAAATATTTTTGTGAAGTATTTTAAATACATTCTTGCGCATTAGAGAATCTAATGAAATCAGGGATCTTGGAGTATATCTGGTTCTGTATTATGTTTCTGATACACATTTAGATTTGTATACACTGCATATATGTATATGTTGCTACGTTCCGTAAAACATCAGTTAAGCACCTTAAAAATTATGTGTCAGGTAAGCAGTGCATATCTTTTGTATATACTGCCTGTTTCCTCAGTAGATTTGTTAACTGGATGCTGCATTCTTCTTGTTTCATTCCATCTTGATTTTGGCATGTGGACTTGGTTGCGAAAGCTACTTGTAGCAATCCGTGAAGCAACTGTAATGGTTCTCATAGAACTCCATTCCCTTCTTGGAAATTATTGTCCACAGGTTAACTCATGAAATTTAACTCTCTTCTTGATACTTGTTATGTACAGCATTCAGTCATTCTGACTAGCATAAGCAGCACATCAAGCAAGATGTACAGCATTTGGGAGAAAAACATTTTTAGGCCATATAAAAAACAGAACCTTCTAAGGAGGAAGGCAGAATTGTATGTATTTAATATCTTATGGCATTCAAAGTTTCTAATAACTGTGCAACATGGGATTTCAAAACGTGGATGGATTCCCAGCAATGTAAATTCATACGTGTTTACCTTGTATGTCCTTGCACTGGCAATTAAATTTAAGTCAGGCTCGAAAACCTTACTGTTCGTGGACTGAAGAGTTATCCTGGGAGCATCCCAGGATCCATTGGGCTCATCTTTGAGGCTGCAGATGAGCCTAATGACTCAAAATACCAGTCACTTTGAGAGGGATTAACGTACAAATTGTAATTCGTATGGAAAGAAAACAGCTTAATTTGAAATAATAGATATTTAAACATCTGTATATAGCATATATGCAATTTAATGAAGAAATAGCACTTATTTTTGTCGATCATATTCTTGGGACTTAATTGCATCTATTGCAGTTCTGACTTCCATTCAACTATTGGGCTTTTTTTTTTTTTCCAAATTCTATTGCATAGGTGCTGGTTCTTCTGCACTACACTGTTGCCAAAAATGACCTCCTGTTTTAATAGGGCTGTTCCATCAGAAGTACACACAATCGCATCCAGTAATTCTCAATTTAGATCCTTAAAAATTGTTAGCAGAGTAGTAGACTCCTTTAGAAATTTCATGTATGCTGGCTGCTCCAAAACACACATAAGTTTTTTTGTCTTCATTGCCTTTTGTGAACCCCCTAAAAATAAGTTACAGAATGCCATTTGCCTGTGGGCCACAGACTAAAAGCCATGCTTCAAAGTGAGCAATAGCTCAGGTAAATTCCAGCTGATTCCGGCATTTTTAAATCAGAAACACTACTGTGCTTGCATACTTCAAGGTAGTCCCACATTGACATGTTCTGAACGTTTGCATCAGCAAGCAGATCACTGATGAAAACAAAGTTGTGAGATCAGTAGCACCCAGAAAACAGGCACTTCTGCCTAACTTTTCACTTTCCTAGTTTGTATCCTAACAAGTGCCTTATTGAAGTAGGATTTTTTTGTCTTGGATGACAAAACCATTTCAGCAGTGTTTGAAATCTTGCAGTCTTAATGTATTGTCTCAGAGTGAAGGCTGCTCTTAGCTACCCTAATGTCTCTTCCAGAGTCTGCAGAACATTTCTGGAAGGGCAACAGGAGCCAGCACAACCTCAGCTGGCCCAGAATCAGCTCCAGGGCTTGGCTCTGGCGTAACATCCACAAAGGGTAGTTATGCTATTGTAACGGACAGCCAAAAAACATTGCCAAAAAACAATCCACGTGAACCTGTTTTGTACTGGTGTTGTCTGGGATTCTTTTGGATTTCCTTGTCCATCTTTTTCACTGTATGTTCTTAGAAAGTGAAAAAGTGTTTTGAGGTTTAGTGGTTATATTGATAGTTTCTGCTTGCAAAAGGAGAACCTTTATTGCAAGCCACTATTACAGTTTGTTATCTTATAGATAGTCATTTTAAAATGATTCAATGACTATATTTTTTTGTATTTAAAAAAAAAAAAGGCAACACTTGGTCTTATTTTTTTCTTGTTTTCAGAGTCCTCTAAGCATATTAAAAGGAAATATTGCTGTTTGCTAATACTATCAAAGCCATTCTAAAATGAACTCCTCAGTTCACATTCTGTCTTTTCACTGATCAGTGCTTATAGTGTGAAGTGAGAACTTGAGGGTGTAAGAAGGGACAGACAGTTTCTCTGCTTGTCCAGAAGAAGCAAGTGAAGCATTTATCCAACTCAGCTACACAAGGTACCAAGTCCAAAATACAACCATCGGGGTCTACACTGCAGCAGGCCATGCTCCTGCCCCATTCCCGGTATGTATTTCTGCTGCATGAGCTGCATCCCGAACCACTTCATCGTAGCACAGGCATCGGTCCTTGAGGGGAACGGGGCAGTTCCTCTCAACACAACCCCATGATATGTGGGGTGGCAGGACATGGATGTGACTGTCTACCCGTTCTGGCCTGTGCCCTCTCTCCAGCATTTACTGGTGGAGCCACAAGCCACACAGGATCTGGAAGAGAACCTTGTTCAGTGTAGCCATCCTTCTCCCCCAGCCTAATGGCAGGAGCACCCCTCTTCTGTTGCATGCCAGGTTGAGCATTATCTGAGTTTGGGTTCCATCTGAAACAACCACACGACTTTAAGGCTCACGGAGTCTTTCCCAAAAGTTACTTTCCTGTTTCACTGTTGCTGAGGCACTGCCTCACCTCATGTCAAACACCCTGGGTGTGCAAGGAGGACAGGAAAAAAAACCTGGAACAGGCTCTGTGCTTACACCAGTTCTTAGCTGCCAACGTAAGACATTCCTG